GAAGTGGTAGGTAGATGTAAGATAAAGGTAGAAAACATAGTTTAGTGCTGTAAGAAAGCAAAGAAAAGGGCTTTTTAACTAGACTGGTGCCTGCTGGGACAGGGCTGTGATATTCCCTGCAACCTTTCAGGAGAAGCTGTGTGAGTTCAACTGCAGCATCCGGACTCCACCAAAGCAGATGGTCTGGTGAGGATAGGGTTGTATTGTTGAGGGTGAGGGTGGGAATAGCTTTGTTTCCTGGGACACCCTGATTCGTCCTGTCTACTGGCCAAGCCAAGTAGAGCTTGCGTTGTATCTTCTATGCATGCTTGAGGGAAATTCCTGTCTACATGTGAACCCACAACTGACAACATAGCATGAGAGGGAAGCAGACACCAATCAAAGGATTGGGATAAGGGGCAGCAGGCAGGCATATGCAGGGCTGTCCCAAGGAAGTGATGTAAGCAGTGGTGTGGGAGATATAGCTGCGGGCCCAGCATGTTGTGCATATTCCAGATGTGTGTGTGGTTCTGCCTACAGGTGTAGCCGTCCTCGCAGCAAGGAGAGGGCTGTCGTGGTGGCCTGGGAGAGGCGGCTAATGGTTGTGGGCGATGCACCTGAGAGCATCCAGTATCCTTGGAGGACTACCTTTGGGGGTGGAAGGGGAAAAGGGAGGGAAGTCACCAGCCCCACCCCATTTTTGGGTCCTCTTGGACACCTTGACCAAGTTTAGGTTCGTGCTGGATGAGGACTCCTACCTGGTGTCTGAGCTGGATGGGGTCCGCATTGTCTCCCATAGCACCCACGAGTTCCTGCATGAAGTTCCAGGTGAGGCCCTCAGGGTACCATGTGACCCAGGGTGGTAGCTCCTCAGCACTGCAGCTGCCCTGAGCCAGTGCCCCAGAGCAGGATCAGGGCATTGAGGCAGGGCTGAGGGTTCCCTGTCCCCTTCCCCGACTCACCAGCTACCCCCTACCCCCAGTGGCCAGTGAGGAGATCTTCAAAATTGCCTCGATGGCTCCTGGAGCACTGCTGTTAGAGGCCCAGAAGGAATATGAGGTAAGGCTCTGGCCTTCTCCCTGGGTTCTAGTATGATCTTCTCCTTCCCCTTCCCCTGATTGACCCAGACCCCTGCCCCTGCCTGGGCAAGAGTGGACACAACCAGGTACATCTGTCAAGAGAAAGGTCCAGGCAGGACACTGGGCTGGGCTGGGGAGAGCCATCAGGTGGACTGAAATGACATGGTGTCCTCCATGTGGTGATGGGGAGGGCAGTGAGCCCCGACTATCCCCAGTCCAGCCAGGCACACACAAGTCAGGTACTATCAGGGGCCCTCACAGGCAGTTGCATTTCCTTTACAAGGAAATGTATGGGCACCTCGGGTAGACTGAGCGGGCTGTAAGGGTTTGGAATCCAGGCCCTCAGCCCCCCTAAACCAGCCTATTTGAATCACAGCCCAGGTGGCCAGATGTGGGGGTTTCTCTGTCATGTTGCACCTTCCCTGGTACCTTCCTCCCATCCACCAGAAAGAAAGCCAGAAGGCAGATGAGTACCTGCGGGAGATCCAGGAGCTGGGGCAGCTCACCCAGGCTGTGCAGCAGTGCATTGAGGCTGCGGGACATGAGCACCGACCAGACATGCAGAAGAGTCTGCTCAGGGTCGGCCTGGATGGCAGGGAATGGGAGAGGGTGCTGGGCAGGAGGTGGGGGTAGGGGGGAAGAAGCTCTCCTCTGTTGCCCTCTGCCTCTTCTCAGGCGGCCTCCTTTGGAAAGTGTTTCCTCGACAGATTTCCACCTGACAGCTTCGTACGCATGTGTCAGGACCTGCGTGTGCTTAATGCTGTTCGGGACTATCACATTGGGATCCCTCTCACCTATAGCCAGTATCCTCTAGCATGCTGGAGGGGTGTGTACAGCCAGGGGTGAAAGGGAAAGGGGCTGGAGATGCCGCCTAAAAGTCCTTGGCAAATAAGGTGTATCCCCCCAGCTGGATCCTTAACCGAGTAAAATGCAGATATAAACAGCTCACCATCCAGG